CGTCCCAAAGCAGGCTTGTGAGGCCGGTCTGGCGATGCAGCCGCCCACTCCAGATCTCGATGCCCTGCCACACGCCCCGGGACCCATTGTCATCCTCTGGGCTCTTCCAATCCTCTTCCCGCCACAACCCTCGAGCAGGATTCTCACCATCACAAGTCTTACTGCCCCCTCCCCCCTCTTGCGAGACCACTCAGTGGACACCCTCCCCGCAATACCCCCTCCGTCCACTACCCAGGTGCCTGACCGTGCCCAAGGAGTGGGACGGCGCTCTGCTCATGCAGTACACCTGCCCCGCCGGGCAGTACAACGACCTGGCCACCATCCTGCTGTCCACCAGCGTCTACGTCATCCGCAACCTGCTGGGCATGGGCTCCCGCGCGCACCCCGTCCCCGCCGCCTGCGGCCTGGACCGTCCCTGCTACTTCTCCCTGGCCAGCTTGTGCATCGCCTCGGCGCTCTACCTGGTCCTCATGGTGGCCGCCGCCTCCACCGCCTCCCCCGGTGGCCTCTTCATGCCCTCCATCATGGTGGGCGCCACGCTGGGCGGCGCCGCGGGGCTGGCCCTGCACGCCCTCCTCCCCGCCGACTTCGGCATCAAGCCCGGCATCTTCGCCATCGTCTGCGCCACCGCCACGCTGGGCGGCGTCTTCCGCTCGTCCATCTCCCTCGTGGTCATTGTGGTGGAGGGCACGCAGGGCATCGAGTTCATGTTTGGCATCATCGTGGCTGTGGTGATCTCCAACGCCATCTCCCAGCTGCTGAACCGCGACGGGCTGTACGAGGGTGACCTGGAGCGGGACGGCACGGTGTTTTACCTACGCCACGAGCCGCCGCACCCGCTGCGCTACAAGACCGCCGCCGACGTGATGGCCAGCCCGGTGCTGGGGTTCAACGCGGTGGAGTCGGTGGCGCGGGTGCTGCAGGTGCTCCAGCGCACCACGCACAGCGGGTTTGCGGTGTACGATGACAGCAGCGGCAGGTGGGGGGTGACTGTGTGGTGGGGAGTGTGTGGGGCAGACCCCAGGCCTGGGGACAGCCGTCCATCATGCGCTGCACGCCCTGCTCCCCCAACACACCCACACTGTTGAGCAGTAGAAAACAAAACCCACAAAAACCCACAGGGACCCGATGCTGGGCTCGGGGCGGCTGGCGGGCCTGATCACGCGCACCCAGCTCATGGTACTGCTGCGGTACCGCGTGTACTGCGACGCGGCGGGACGGTACCTGGACCCCGTCCCCGACCCGGTCCTGCTGGAGGAGTGGCTGGCGGCGGAGATGGCCGCGCGCCAGGCCGCGCGCCGCTCCTCCAACTCCCTGGTCCAGGGTGGGCGGCGCTCGGCGCCGCAGGTGCGCCGCCGCCGGCGCTCCGAGGATCGGTCGGGCCGCGGCCTCTTCCTGCGGCGCGAACGGGAGCACGCGTGCCGCCCGGGCGACGCCGCGGCCCGCGCGGCGCAGTACGCCGATCGCCTGCCCAGCATGTTGATGGAGGAGGCCGACGCGGCGGCGCTGCTGGCGGCGCTGGAGTCCCAGGGCGTCTCCGAGGCGCCCTCCGAGGCCGAGGACGGGGTCGAGGCCCACAGAGGGAGTGGCAGGGGACCGGCACGCGGGGCGACGGCGGGTGACAGCGGAGGGGCCGGACGTGAGCTGCTTGGAGGCGACGGCGGAGCGGCGGCCCGGGAAGCGCCGGCGGGTGCAGGCGCGCCGGGCTTCCCCCGCCTGCCCACCGCCGGGCTCCCAGACCAAAAAGAGTGGGAGTACGCCCCCAGCCGCCCCGGCTTGCGCCCCTCGCCCTCCACCGTTGAGGTGCTGGCCCGCGCCGACCCGCCACAGGGCGCCTTTTTGAACCTGGACCCCTTCATGGCCTGCGCGCCGCTCACCGTGCGCACCGCCACGCCGGCCAATGAGGTGCACCAGCTGTTCCTGGCGCTGTCTCTGCGCCACCTGCCGGTGGTGGACCGGCGCGGCATCGTATGGGGCATGATCACGCGCAAGGACCTGGACCGCGCGGCTGGGCGTGGGTGGTGGAGGTGGGTATTATCTTTGTTTCTTTCTTTGTATTTTGTTTTGGGGGATGGGGGCCATGGCGAGCATCCAGAGGGCAGGGCACCGAGAGCTGCGGTCGGCTGTCCCTGCAGCCTACATGCATGGTACCCCCCTGCAGTCCACAACCCCCTTTCCCTCCTCACTGTCCCTCTCTCAAACCCCAGGGTCAACAACCCGCCGGCCACGCCGGAGCTGGGGTCGCCCCTGGCCGTGCGGCGGCCGAGCCCCGAATCCCCGCGCAACCTGCTGTCCTCCCTGATGCGCCGCCCGCGGTGGCTGCTGGCCGCGCTGACGCAGGACGCACGCGCGCGCCTCGGCCTCTCCCGGCACTCCTCGCCCGATGCCACGGACGACGAGGAGGCGCCGGGGCGCGTTAACATCATACGCCTCGCTGCGAATGCAAACGGCGAGCGCAGGGGGTCGCCGTTTGCATGACCAGGTGCCTGGTGCCCTCCCCCCGCCTCGCTGGAGTGTGCTATGCTGGCTCCCAGTCCCAAACCCTGACAGTTTTGCCGATGGCAGCATACCTGGCTGTTCATCGGCCCTTGCCTCTTTTCCCAGGCCCTTGCCTGCAAACTGTATATACCCCTTTTCATCTGGAGTGGCAAGGTGGCACAGGGTGCCATATCGTCCCCCCCCAAACCCATCATACTCGTCACCTCTGGTGTGTCGCCCTGCATTCCATAAATACCCCGCCTGATTCCAGAGGTGCCCAAGAGTGGATGCATGGGGGTCACAGGTACCTAGCCCCCCCTGCAGTACGCAGTCAGTCGCTGAGCAGGCGAGCTGCCTCCCTTTCATCTTGGCGCTGTTGAATGGAACACCCCGCCTGACTGCCGCCTGGCGTGTAGCCCTTATCTGCCAAACTCCTTGCCGGGCTTTAATTCAACTTACACATCCATTCACGCGCGGTGCTCAAAGGGGAGCAGGGCGCAGCCCTGCCTGGCGGACGCCAGCACCGCGCTCAGCACCCGCTCCGTCAGCGCCGCGATGCGCGGCCAGTACTCCGGTGCGCGGCCGCCGGCACGCACGACCTCGATCTCGCGCGCGAAGCGCTGCCAGAGCGCTGCCTCCTGCGTCACTGCGTTCCTCACCGTCCGCGTCTCCTCCACCGTGGCGATACGGGTGTCGCCGTCGGCCAGGCCGTTGGCGGTGGCCACGACAAAGGAGGCCTCGTGCTCGGCGGTGGGGATGACAAAGTCCCGCAGGCGCAGCGACCCCCGGTCGCCGTACACCTCCAGCTTGGAGGTGAAGACGGTGTCGAAGGCCGCCAGGAAGCGGGCCTTGCGCCCGCCGGGGAAGAGCAGCGTCGCCGCGATGTTCAGCGGCACGCCCGCCTCGTTGAACAGTGCGCCGTGGTGGGCGGCCACATGGGTGGGCGGCGTGAAGTCGTACGCCCACAGGATGGCGCGCACGCAGTACCTGTGAGGGTTGGGTGTGTGATTAAAGGGGTTTGAGTGACTTTGGGGGGGGAGAGTGCAGCGTGTGGGTGACCACGGATGTCATCCCCAAACTGAGCCAGTTCGTAACACGAAGGCCCCGCAGCCGGCCGCAGAATCGAGCTCCGTGCTGCGTGACATCCGCAAGATTGTACACTGAGGGTCGAGTCTGTGCACACCCCGTCCCTCCCTCCTGCAATACCCACCAGCCCACGTCGCCCAGTGCGCCCAGGGGGTCGCCGTCGGCCTTGACCCGCACATTGTTCTCCAGGAAGTCAGCGCTCCCTGCATGGGTGGTGCAAAAGATTGCTCAGAAATACTCTTTGCAGCCGCAAGCTTAGGAGCCGGACTGTCAGTTGCCAGTGCTCCCTGGAGGCCGCACAAAGCATGCCGTCAGCACACTGTGTCATCCCAACCCCTGTGCACCCCCGCTCACCCTTGAAGGTGAAGGCGGAATCCACATCCCACACCGGCCCGATCTCCTGCAGGGCAGCCTCCATGGCAGCGGTGCGCGGGTGGTGCATCCACATGGTGCCGTCGAAGAGCACCACGTTGGCGTCGGCCGCCGCCTTGACGATGGCATCCACATGCTCGTCCTCGATGGCGATGGGCTTCTCCAGCACTATGTGCAAGCCTTTGCTGGCGGCCTTCTGCACCCATTCCACGTGCAGGGCGGTGGGCAGGGGGATGTACACGGCCTCCACGCCCGGGAAGTCCAGCACGGCATCGTAGCCAGCCACGGGGGAGGCATGGACCAGCTTGTTGCGCTCGATGAAGGCAGCGGCCTTGGAGGCCTCACGACTGCCAACCACAACCACTGAGGGGGCCCAAGGGGTGCGAGATGGTCACAATGTAACCCAAACCCAAGTACGAACTTCCAAAAGAGGATTTACATGATCTTGCAACATCTCTACCAAGGAAGGCGAACCTTGCGCGACGTCGGGTATGGAGTTGATGGCCCGGCTTATTTTGTTGGCGATGTTAGCGCCCCCTAGGATGCCCACCTTCAGCACCATGGCAGTCGAGTGATGGGTTTTCAATTTGGAATGTGTCGATGAGGAGAAGAGAGTAGGGTCATAGATCTGTGGGCGACTGTGATCTCGTCCAGGCCCGGCTTCCAGATCACTCCCCAGCGTCGGATCCGGTTGGGACGCCTCTCTTCACACTGTCCGCTCCTCCTGCTGGCCCACCATGCATATGCTGGACAACCCCGACCAACAGCAGAGACCCACCCACACTTTTCTATGAGAGGCAGATCTGCTTACTACATGGGCAACCCAAATGCTCAGTTCCATGGAGAGACAGGCAGTGGCTGGACAAATCGTACAGGAAGCATACTGCTCAAACTTGGCACACATGAACAGGGTCCTGCACTCTTGCAAGCCTGCGGCCACCCCACGGGCGACACACCTTGCGCCAGCGTCGTGACCCCCGGAGCTCAATTTCTTCCCTCTCAGCGATCCAGACGCAGGTCGGTGGAGCTCAGCTTCCCGCTTGAGCTATGCTGGCCCCTCACCAGACCCACCACCACCACCACCAGCGGGGCAAACCCGCGCTCCGCCCGCCCGGCGTTGATGGCCTCAGCGCCGTGTATCGTTTCCTCCGACACCACGATGGCTTCGAAGCTGGGGTCGGTGGTGGCCAGCGGAGGTTCCTTCGGGTCCAGCAGGGGGCCCGCAGTCACCCGGACCCCAGGGTGGGTTGCCTCCATGTAGCCCACGGCCGCGCCGCTCCTGACTTCGTACGCCTCCAGCCACTCCCTCCCCTGCTTGTTCACCAGCAGGCGGTCCGCTGCAGGGCGGCAGAAGGTGGGGGTGAGGGGGACGCGGTGGATGCCAGGGATGGGCCTGGGCTCCACGGCCCAAGCGCCACCACTGCGGGATCAGATGGCTGGCTGCACAGCCGCCATAACTATGCACGGGTACATCACCCACAGACAGACCCGGACCCCCATGCACTCACCAGTGATGCCCACGAAGATCTCCGCGCTCGCGACCGCAGCGGTGGCGGCCAGCAGCAGGCGGTGCCCGGCGTGGAGCCGGTCAAAGGTGCCCCCCACCGCCACCTTTTTGAACGACAGCTCCCGGTCCAGGGCAGTGCCCGGCTGGCCGTGGATGCGGGCCTGAGCGCCGCTGCCCGGCGCGCATATGCCGGAAGGGGACCCGATGGGCGCGGCAGCTTCCTGCGAGCCGACCTCCAGGAACAGGGGCTCCACGCCCAGCCCCACCGCCCCCAGCGACTGGAGCTGCGTCAGCAGGGCGAGGCCCAGCTGCCTCGCAGGTGCTGCGGCATGCACGGCCATGCCCCGCAGATCCGACCTGGACGCCAATTTCTCTGTGTCAGGGACGCGGCATCAGAGGGGTACGGCGTTGGACTGCGAGATGCAAATGCAAGCCTCTGAAGAAGCACATAGAAATCATAGAGGAAGAGGGTCCCTGTGGGTCCCTGGCTGCCTACCAGGGGTCCAGCCGAGCCGAGGCAAGAGTACACAGAGGGACAGCTGGGGAGAACTCCAGCCGACGGCCGCAAACAAGTCTTTCATGAAGTCCAGGGTAGCGAGCGTGACAGGGTCCCTCCCCAGGTGCCCTTTGAGGGTATAAGAGGGGCGTGTGGTTCAAGCTCTGGGTGATTTTGTGAGAGGTTTTAGCACTGGGATTGCTAGCACTTGCCATGGGAAGGTGACCAGGCACATGCACTGTGCGTTATATTATAGGCCAGCATGCTGCACCCTGGTGTTACCACCCCCATGCAGCCTGAAATTCATGCACCTGTATGATACACCAGCACATCTGCGAAGCCCGGCTGCAGGGCTTCTCTTGCAAGCTCCGCAACCTGCCAGGCGGGCTCGTCGGCAACTGGGAGCAAGATGGCCGACATGGCTGTAGCAGTGAGACTCTGGCCCTTTGCAGAACCGGCGCGCCGGTGTCGCTTTCCTGGGGAACTGCCGGGGAATATGGAGCAGTACCGACTGCTCGGCCTGGCCGACGTCACGGCCTTGACGGCATGACGGACCACCCCTGCTGGCGCATCCGTAATGAAGAGGTGATATTTAGCGAGGACTCTTTCCCGATGCAAGAAAAGTATGGTCTGGTCGGTGATTGGCCGTAGTGAATATGTCGTGGGCGGTCCCGGCAACCCCACAGATGACGTGGCAGATTTTTGAAGTTTTGCCGTATGTCGTGCACGAATGAGCGGCAGCAAATGGCCCAACAGGAAAGCCATACAGCCAGCTGCAAAGGGAGCATCTTCAATGTAGAAAAGGTCCAAGTGATACACTGTCGCTTTGAGGAGGATGACCACGGATCCTCCCTCCAAACGGGGCCGGTCTGAGGCTGTCACCCATGATGCCAACGAGGTCATCGAGCTTGTCTTCGACGTCGGGATGGAGTCCGAGGAGCAGGCGTACAACCCGGACATGTGCCACCAGTGCGTCATGAAGGCGGCAGAGCCTGCGGAATGCGAGGAGAGTGCCAGGTGCAGTCCCGGCCATGCGTTTCGATTACCTGCCCTTCCCATGCAGGCTATTCGGCGAGGAGGAGCTGATCCAGGGCCACCCCGAGCCTGCCATAACCCTCAAGCTGTCTGCTGCCTTCCATGCCCTCCTGGAGGTCGACTCTGGCGGCAAAAAGGAGCCGGGCGCGACAGATGTGGTCGGGCCTTTCAAGGAGGCGTTCAGTGATGCCCTCTTCACGGACGAGGAAGCCTTCCAAAGGGCTGCCGCGCAGGAGGGCTCTCTTGATGTGGCAGCCCTGGGCACACCAGTCTCTATTCCTGGGGACTGGGCCCCGGGATGTGCTGGCGGTGAACTCTCCCTGCAGCTGCTGGCCAGCAGCATCGCCAGCGCCACCCCCCAGCTCAAGGTGCGTGCTGGGAGGATTGAGACATGGGTGTCCAACATCATCAAACAGCCGGGCAGCCGGGGGGCCTCCAGGGAAGCTCGGGTTGTGTGCTGATGGCTTCATGATCCCCCCTTCAAAACATATGCACTCGCAGGCCCTGCACGCCCGCCTGCAGCCCCTGCTGCTCTTCTACATCGACGCCGCCAGCATGATCGATCAGGAGGACGACAGCTGGGACCTGATCCTGGCCCTCGCCGAGACCCCGGGCGGCCAGCGCGTGGTGAGACGCGGTCCTTGGTCGGTGGAAATGCGAATGTTGCGTCAGCACCTCTCAGGTCTGCATGATATCATGCAGGCCAAGCCTCCCGCAAGGCCCCCCCCTGCCACCCCCCCAAATCCCAACAGGCGGGGTTTGCAACGCTCTACTCCTTCTTTGGCTGGCCGGACAGCAAACGCATGCGCCTGAGCCAGGTGTTCGTGATCCCTGCTTTCCAGAAGCGAGGGGTGGGGCGGGCCCTGCTGGCCGCCGCCACGGTCCACGCTCAGGCGGCCGGAGCGCTGGACATGACGGTGCGGCTGGTCTCGTGGTACCCCCTGGCATGCTCGTCCGGCTGGGACTGGGCTCTGACGCCGAGGGGTGGCAAGGGAAGCTGCAAGTCCTGATATTCTGCATTCTGTTTGCCTGACATGTTGGCCGCAGCGATGAGGCCCATGATTCTGTGCCAGGCTGCTGCCTGCAGCGAGTTCCTGTGTTCAGCTGCGTCCCGTGGCTGGGATCCCTTCAACGCACATTCCATGCCCATCATCCTCCCACCTCACAGTGCGAGGACCCGACCGAGGACCTGCAGCGCCTGCGTGACCGGTTGGACGTGCAGCGTGCACGGCATGCACCGTGGCTGCTGGAAGCGGCCAGGAGGGTGGGTACAGGGGCGCTTGAGGTTCAGCCAAGGGTGGTGTAGCAGTGTGTGGCGTAAATATCAGCTCAACGGTTCTGACCCATGTGCGTGAGATCGAATTGCACGCTCTGACTTCCTGCCTCTGCCACGACAGGTGTCTGGTCTCGCACCTGGGGCCACAACAGCCTTGGAAGGCAAGGGTGAAGTCGGCGAAGGGCAGGCAGCCTTCCACACCACCATCCCCGCCGACATAACCAAGCGCGCGCGTCAGGAGCTGTGCCTCTGCAAGCATCAGGCGCAGCGGGTCTGGGAGGTGCTGCTCTACGAGTTCCTGCTTGATGCCAAGGGGCAAGACGGGGCAGACCGAGCCATGCAGCAAGCCATCCGGCAGAAACTGTCGACCGCCATCTCTGCGGCCGAGACCGGCTCGAAAGGTGAGGCTCCTGTGAGCAACCTGGACACCTCAAAGAGCCAGCTTTGGTCTGCTACACTGTTCAGAGCTGTGCCACACACATTGCTCCCCGCCACCCTCCGCCGCAGGCAAGGTCACGCAGGAAACGGAGTCCGGCTTTGTCCTGCAGAAGCGGCGGCGGCGAGACGCAGGGCTTGGCGTCGGTGGGAGGCCAGAAACCCCATCTGTACCCGTAGAGGAGGGGTCCGCCGAGGCCAAGGCTGCGGCCGTGGAGCAGGCCGTCGAGGCGCGGCTGGATGCCATCGCGAGTGTGGCGCAGCGGCGAGGCTCGACGCTGGCCTGACGGCGGTCCCTGGGTTGCCATTCCCATGCAGTCTCGCCGATGCACTGCTGCAGCGGGCAGACAGCCTGACACAGAGGCCACCAAGCGCCAAGGGTGAAGAGCAGGCGCTGCGTCCTCCCTCGTCGGGTCGAGCACACCCCTTCCAGTCAGTGCCCCCTCACTTGCTCCTGAACCTGTGAAACTACCATGCAGGGGTCTTACAGGGGCACCCAGTCAGGTCGTGCCCGAGGTGATCTTGCAGATGTCCTCGTACTCAAAGAAGCGGACCTCCCGCCCCTCCCCCTCCAGCTCGACCTCGGCCTGAAAGGCCGAGGTGTCGATGCGGACCAGCAGCCCCCGCCGCCCCGCGAGCCGGCCCCGCACGACCAGCACGCTGCCGCCTGGCGTGGGGATCACGCTTTCCAGCTCCTCCTGGTCCACACGCACGATGTCGCCTGCACCAGGGAGGGGTGGATTAGTCATGGGCCTGACCCTGCTATGTGACAGGGGTGGTTATGTGATCCCCAGCATGCTGGGCAAGCACCTCCTCCCCCCAGTCCCCCAAACCCCCCTCCCTCGAGCACCCGCACCGCTGCTGAAGAGCTCCACCTCGCCGATGTACTTGTCCAGCACTCGCAGCACCAGCCCCTTCTCCTTGTAGTACCCGTGCGCCTTCAGGCCGGGGCTCATGACCTTGACCGTGAGCCCCTCCACCAGCCAGGCCTCCGTCTTGCGCGGCGGGGGGGCGGCGGGGCCTTGACCACGGGGCGGGGGCTGCCCTGCGGACCCCGTGCCCCCCAGGCGCGACGGGGCACCATGAGCCTTGGCCAGCTTGTCCTGGGGCAGCGAGCAAAGAAAGGGTGAGCGCCAGGGAGTCTGCGACAACAGCTGGCGCAGGGAGAGTGCCGGGTCCTGGTGCTGCAAAACCGACAGGCCTCTCGTAGCAGTGGGCTGCCCAGAAACCTCCAACCAGGGCCCCTGTCCAGAGAGCCGCTGCACACCTTTGCCATGAGCTCCTCCAGCTTGCTACGTTTCTGGGGCGGGGCAGCCGCCCTGATCCCGTCCGCGCGTGGGCCCCGCCCTGTCGCGTCCTCGCCGAAGGCGAGGGGCAAGGGTTGCGCCTGGGCCCGGGCCTCCGACTGTCGCGCCGGGGCTGCCAGGGCAAAGGCGACGGGCGCGTCGTCGAGCCTCTGGAGGTCGGTCGCGCCCTCCGAGGACATGGTGGCGGGCTGGTCCTCCCCTATGATCAGCGGGCGGGCAACTCGGGCTGGGCACGCATTGTTCTAATGTTGATGAGCAAGGCAAGAACTTGCACGAACGATTTCAGCGACAGCTGCTGCTTCGTGACCGCGTCAGAGAGCGGCCGCCCAGCCTGTGGCGCGGAGTGCACGTTCAAAGCCAGCTCTGCAATGACAAGCTCTCAAGAGTGCTGAGCCTGGCCAACTCCAAGCGCCCATCACTGCTGCGCAAACCATGGAACACGCCCTGCCGCGCCTCTCACCTGGCTGACTGGCCCTGGCTCGGGCCACCTGGGCCTCGAGGGCTTTGTTGTGGCGCTCCGACTCTTCCAGCTCGGCCCTTTCACGCTTCAGGCGCTTCTTCTCCAACAGTTCCTGTGCCATTCTCGGAGCACCGGAAGGAGTTGACGATTTGAGAGCAGGCTAGCAGGTCGCCTTGTCTCGGCATGGAGTACGCAGCCATCATCCAATGGAGACCGCCTCAAGTCACAGAAGCCACTGTAGGGGTATTCTGGCAGGTATGCCCGCCCCGTGACGCATCATCGCACGTGACCAAAAATATCTTGCCGGCCCAGCAACACCCCTAAACCCCCCTCTGTTTCGCCAACTCACCTCGGCAGCGTCCTTCTGGATGAGGGACATGAACCACCCTTTGGGCGTCTCATCAACCCGGCAGATGCCCTTCTTCCCCAGGTACTTGACGAACTCCGTCAGGGTCAGCCACTTGGTGGAGTTCATGTGCACGTGATGCCGGTCCGCGATGAACTCGTTGTAAACCACGGTGGCCTGCACCCGGCTGAAGGGGTGGGCGCGACGTAGGTGTTCCAGAAAAGACTCCTCGAACTCCTCCGAGTACCCCTCGATCACCCGGTCCGGGTTCTGCCCAAATATCTCCATCTGGCGCCGGTGAGCGTCCGAGGTGAGGTGGCACTTGAAGCCGTTCTCATCCCTGCAGGACTTGCCGCACATCTGGCAGTACCACCGCAGCTTCTGGAGGCCCTTGGCCTTGATGCGGTTGGCTATCGCCTTGGGGGTCAGGAAACCTGCGATGCGAGGGCGGAGGCGCAGTTAGGATGAGGACACAGAGTCAAATTGTCGCGGAACACGCGAGACCGGGTTGCGCTCCAGCTCTCCCGACACACCATTCTTCCCCATCCTGGCTCAGCAGCGTGCGCCAGCAGCTGATCAGGCACTTTCGGCCATAATGATATATTTCCGTTTGCCGAACGTGGAGATGGGGGTAATGAACTCACCGAGGAGCCCCTTTTCTCGTGCTGGATCCCTGACTGCAAGATTGGGCGCGCGCGCGGTTCAGCTTCTCGAGAATTCGTCGTCACCAGGAGCACAAGCATGTTGATCGCGTCAGATTCAAGCGCTCCGGCCTGATCATGCTAGAAGGACCCGTGAGAAGTCCTGGAGTACTCTGGATGATGTTGGTTCGATACCTACGTGGCAGGGCCCCTGCTTGTAAGTTCCAGGGGCCTGTGCTCCCCCGCTCTGTGGCGCCCACATGATCCTGACGGGCATCAATTACAGGAGGGGTGGGTGTCATACAGGAAACAGGTCGCCGCCGTGCAGGGGGACAAGAAGTGGTGGATCAGGGGTCTGAGTCAGCTCGCCAGCAACAACAAGGTCTCGGTCTGTCCGGGGGAGCGAGGGGTCCACACATGAGTGGGTCCAAGGGTGTTCCTTCAGGATCACGAGCGCGAGCGGCGCACCCGCGCATGGGGACGAAGAGGTCGGCGACGGCGCGCGCGTCGAGGCTTTGGCCTCGCAAAATGTGCAGGGCCTCGCATCAGACGCGCGCCACGGCGCAGGACAGGGCACCTGCGGTCCCCTGCAGCGGCCCCGAGGGCGCGAGCTGCACCTCCAGGGCCGCCACGGCCGCCGCCAGCTCCGACAGCATGTCCACCACTGATGCGGAGAACCGTGGCCCCACCGAGCTGGCCATGGACCCCGGTGACGTGGCGCTGGGGGTGGGCGCCCCGTCCGTGGCCGTGCGTGGGGGCGGCGTGGGCAGCGGCCACTCCGGCCCGCGCGCGTCCTCGCCGCCCGACAGGTCCAGCGGAGGGACCTGGCGCCGAGGGCGGCGCCGCCGCGACGCCTGGCCATCATCTGCCGTGCCAGGGCTGGGAGGGGAGCGGGCGCTGCTTCCCGGCATCGAGCCGGCCAGGAAGGCGCGTGGCCGCCGACCGACGATGAGCGACGCCTGGGCGTCGTGCGCGCGGCGAAGAGCCGCCGCCGGCTCCCGCACCCTCGAAGCATGCGGCGAGGCACCGCTGCTCTGGCGCGATGTAGTCGGGAGGCTGCCTAGGCCGGAGCCGCTCGCCGCAGGGGAGGCCCCCCCACCGCCCGAGCGCGCCACGGTCTCTGCAGTCCGAGCGTGATGATACTCCTCCCCCCGCACATCACCCGTCTCGCCAGCCGAGGAGGAATCGGTCGAGTCCAGCAGCCTCCGCCCCGACCGAGCGGGCAGGTGCTGCGCGCGCTGCTGCCGGCGCTGCGTCGTGTCCTCGGCCGGGGAGCGCTGATGCTGGCGTCCGGAGGGCCGAGAGGCGGCGTGGGGCGCCGAAGTCTTGCCTCCTTCCCAGTCGGCAGCGTCCCTGCTTTGCGAGGCATGGGACGCCGTGCTGGGGCTGGAGGGCCACTCGGCGCTCACACAGGAACTGGAGCAGTCTGCCGCGGCACCGGCCCGGGCCCCGCGCGGCCGCCTGGCACGTGCCGGCAGGCTCCCGGCCGCCGCCTCGGCCTTGGCGGCCTGCAGCTCGCATGCGAGCATGGCGACCTGCTGCTCGGCGGCCAGCCTCCGAACCTCGCTGGCCTGAAGCGCCGCCTGCGTGGTCGCCAGCTGCGCCTCCAGGCCACGGGTCGCCTCCGCCTGGCAGGCCCAGCGGGCCTCCAGCTCCGTCAGCTGCGCTGACACGGCCTGGACCAGGGCCGAGGCGGAGCCCTGCCTCGATGATGCCGTCGCCAGGGCGCAGGCTGTGGCAGCCAGGCGAGGGGACATTGACCGCGTCCACTCTGCCACCTGGGGCGGGTGGGGAGAGGGGGGCAAGCGGTGAAGAGTTGGAATGCGGAACTGAGCAACAAGAGACAAGAGTTGGGTGATCGGCACCAGGGGATGCAGGAATGGCTGGCCAGCTCATGGTGAGACGTCGCTGGATGAGGCAGGACCCCCAAACACATGGGGATCCCCATCATTCAGCCAGTAGCTCACCTCTGCGTCTCGGGAAGCGAGGGCTGCAGAGGCCCGCTTCGACTCCCGCTTGCACTCCTCCAGCGACCTGTGATGAGAAGAGAGCTGGTAAGTGGCACGAGCAAGACATCCATGTAACCGCGAGCACCTAGGGACCCAGATCCTGCAGGCATCACCTGGGCATGCCACCAACTTAACGGTTGATCAGGATGATAACAACCCACCCCGGGACCCACCTTTGGAGTTCATGGATGGTGTTCTGGCGAGCAGCCGCTGCGGTCTGGAAGGCTCGGGTGCCTGCCAGCGCCATGGCCAGCTGGGCAGCATGCTCGCTGGCCGCGGCCTGCGCGGCGCGGACCAGCCCCAGCTTCTCGGTCTCGGACGTGGCCAGGGACGCTTTCAGGGCGCGGGCCTGGGCCCGGAGCGAGCGCAGCAAGGCCGCGAGGACATGGAGCTGCTGCGTTGGGTGGATGCCGCCCGCCAACCTCCTGGTATCTGATGGGGGACCGACCGTGTCTGCAGCTGGTTCGGCGTTGGGCTCGCGGCTGGGCGAGCACACGCTCTCTATCCCAGCCTCCAACATGGACCTAGAGGGAGACCAGGTACTATTCTAGGTATAACCGCCGGGAGTCGGGGGGATTTGCGCGCCGCTCTCAGCCAACCACCAACAAGTCCGTCAGCACGGCCAGGAGCTGATTTCGTCCAGGGCGCAGCACAAACGGTGGTTGGGCCGAGATCTGACGAGTCATTGGGTATCGCAGCCCATAATTAGGAACAAGTGGCGCGCCCTTCCGCCATAGGAGAAGCCGGACTGTTCTAGTTCGGAGCGTGAAGGCGCGCAACAGCCGATGGGTGCCGCCAGACCCACGCGAGTCATGTGGTGGGTGTTAGTTATTTGGATGCAATGCGTCGTTGCCACGTCAAGATGATGGGCATAGGGCAAAAATGCGCAAAGAGATCTCAGAAAAATACAAACTGTTCGGAAGAAAGGACAGCACATGGTCGCTAAGGGAATAGTGGTTGCAGGAATGCCACCGTGAACGTATATTATTACCCGCAATGCTCTAGCAAGCATACCATGCCTTGGAGGCACGATGTGAACGTGACACTGCAAGTGTGCTGACTTGCCCGCTGTTGTCAGAAGTTGTGTGTCTCACAAGCGGAGTGGTTGCCTGCAGTTTCCACAAGTGTAGGTTCACCTGACCAACAAACATGCTGTTTATAGAAAATCCAACTCACTCTGCTTCCTGCCAAGTCACTGAGGTCATGGGGACGTGCTGCCACATCTCCCAGGGCAAGCTATTATAGCATTACGTAACCGGAAATTCGAGTGTCGGAGCTGCCACATGGGTCGCTGCTCTCCGTCACGCCGGCATTCTCCTGAAACTTGGAACAGTTTCCAGGAACGTATACTCAACAATAAATTCTGACATGTCGATCGCGGGCCACCCCTCGATGTCGGTGTCGAGGGCCAAGATCAGTAGGGCTTCGCCCCTGGCAGGGTTCGAGACAGGTGAGCGTGAAGCCCTTTCTTGCTTGTACCTTTGGCAGCAACCCTAAACATCACATCCAGATTCGCGCTCCCTCATCCACGATGCACGGCAGTGAGGACTCCAAGGTCGGTCCACTGTGCACAGCGCACTGCGATCCATGCCAGCGGGTCCAATGGCGCAGCTCCTGCACTGGTGAGGTCCCAACTCGCGCATCTGTATTCATATTGTCACATCATATCTCCCGTTGCGTTCCAAGCAAGCTAGGATGAAGCTGACGGGGCACAAGTGTGGGTTGCTGCCCACAGGTCAATGGAGCTGTGGCCTCTGGCCCAGACCTGTCGGTCACTGTCAACGGCTTGAAGCTGCCAAACCCCTTTGTCATCGGGAGCGGACCTCCTGGCACTAACTATGCCGTCATGAAGCGAGCATTTGAGGATGGTTGGGGCGCCGTCATTGCTAAGACTGTGTCCCTGGACTCGTCCAAGGTTGGCTGGGGCACCGGGGGGGATGATGGAGGACTGCATGCTGTTAGATATTACTGGCAGTGGCCATGTCTGCTGTGCTTGTGGGCCACGCCGGCAGTCACGCGGATGGTGCGTCCTCAGTAGGCAATCCATTGCGGCAGTGATCAGTCTTTGTGGATGCCTGTGTCGCCTCAGTCCAGAAATCCAGCACAATAAAAACACCCCCCTGTCCTGGACTCCCAGGTCGTCAATGTCACGCCACGCTATGCAAAGATGTTTGCCCCCGGCTCCAAAAAGGACGTGATTGGGTGGGAGAATATCGAGCTCATCTCCGACAGGCCCTTCGAGACCATGCTGGAGGAGTTCAAGCGACTAAAGGCCGAGTTCCCAGACAGGTCGGGGCTGAGTTTTGTTCCTTGGGTGGTGGCATGATAATCCCCCTCCATTCCGACTGGCATCTGGAGACCATCTGGCCAGCAAAGCTCCTCGTCCTGTCTACGCTTGCCCCCCACAGGGTGCTCATCGCCAGCATCATGGAGGAGGTCAACCGTGCCTCCTGGGAGGAGATCGTGGAGCGGTGCCAGGAGGCGGGGGCCGACGCATTCGAGATCAACTTCAGGTGCCGGGGGGGATGGGATGGTGCACTGTGCCGCATCAGGAACCGTGAAGGTGGCGACTCGAGTTTTGACATCTCCGCTTAGCCTCATGGTGCCAGGAATCCCTCTTTCACATGCACTCTACAACCCAGTTCTCAGCATCCCCTTGCCATCCCACTGTGAACTGCCTCTCCCAGTAAGAGGGCCCCGCCCTACCCCCTCCCTCACCGCCCCCCCTTGTCCCCCGCAACAGCTGCCCGCATGGCATGCCCGAGCGCCGCATGGGCATGGCTATGGGCCAGGACCCGGACCTCCTCTCCGAGGTCTGCTCCTGGGTTACCGCCAAGGCCACGGTGCCAGTCTGGGCCAAGATGACGCCCAATATCACCGACATCGCGGTACCCGCGGCCGCCGCCCTGCGTGCGGGGTGCGAGGGAGTGTCCGCCATCAACACCATCACCAGCGTCATGGGCGTGGACCTGGCCACGCTGCGCCCGCAGCCCAGCGTGCAGGGCCACACGACGCCGGGCGGCTATTCCTACACCGCCGTCAAGCCCATCGCCCTGGCCAAGGTGGGGGAATGGGGTGGGGGAAGGGGGTGGGGGGTGAAAGGGCATGTATCACAGGATGGATGGGGAGGGGCCTGGGCAGGGGTGGGCTGGCTTCTAGTTTGGGTGAGAAGAAAAGAGTGCAGGGGCTGGGCAAATGTCCGTCCAGCACGGCCTCTGTGGACGCCGCGGAGCTGGGTCCCTTCGAGAGGGTAACGTTTCGACCGCCTGTACGCCCCGTCCCACCCCCTCTGCTCATAGGTCATGTCCATCGCCAAGGCCATCGCGGCGGACCACCCGGGCGCCTCGCTGTCGGGCCTGGGCGGGGTGGCCACGGGAAGTGACGCCGCGGAGTTCATCCTCATCGGCGCAGACACCGTTCAGGTGGGGGCCGGGGGGGCGGGAGGGAGGGCTGGGTGAGTGGGAGGAAGGAATCCTGTGTGTGGCGCTGCCCGTTGCAAGCCGAGCTATCAGTGGAGACTGAGGAGGGGCAGCTGGGGTTCCAAATTTCGATCTAGCAGCATCGAGCACCCCTTACAAGACCCCCACCTTCTCCCATCATCAGGTGTGCACCGGGGTCATGCTCAAGGGATATGGTCTGGTGCGTGACCTCTGCGCCGAGCTGCAGGACTTCATGCGGCAGCATGACTTCAAGAGCATTGACGAGTTCAGAGGTGGGGAACATGCCTGGTGCCTGGTAGGGTGCTGGGATGGTAGTGGCCGTTGCGCTTGCCACTGTCTTGCCCTCGTCACCAGCGAGGTCATGGCGATGTGCACGTCTCTGGCCCCCTGCGAGAGCCATGTGCGCTCCCCTCACGCTACCCCGCCCCTCATACGACCCTCTCATCCCCCCCCTACGACCACACATCATCCACGCTCACAGGCAAGGCGCTCCCCTACTTCACCACACACCACGAGCTCGTCAGGATGCAGAGGGAGGCCATTGCGGAGAAGAAAGCAAAGCGAGTGGGTCTGTCTCGCGACGATGACTGGTCCGGCGACGGCTTCGTGAAGGAGGCCGAGTCCATGGTTGCGCAGTGAGCAGGCGCTCGGGGCTGCGTGCGTAATGGGGTGTGCATGGGCTGGCTCCACGGCTGCCTTCCAGACGCCTCATCGCATGCAGCAGATGGCCGGGCCCGTGAGGTGCGCGAACGAGCCTGCACGACCTCCAGTACACCCTTTGTTGGTGAAGAAACAACATTACATTGAGGTTAGGAGTACATAATATAAACAGCGGGGGAGAGTGCGTGATAGATTGGTATTTGTGGAGCTGGGAACCCTACTGCCCGAGTCAAGAGAAGTGCTGGTGAGGGCGCCAGGACCAGGATGCGCGTGAGCACATGACAATCACGGAATTTGCAGCCGGCGGTCTCTACCTTGCACAAAAGGTGTGACATCACCACTTCACTCGTACTGCAAGCCTGTCGGGGCCTGCCCGCTCCGGATGCGCGAGGGCATCACTCCCCCCGGCTTAGCGCCACAGCCTGGGGCGCAGAGGCCAAGGCAGCGCCGATAACGGCATCGGCGAGTCATGGAGCGCTTCCTCACGCAGGCCATGATAGTGTGCTTCATCCTGGGCTCGTCGAGGGTCGCGGCTCAGGGCTGCAATGAGCTGCACCCCGTGACCAGCCCCTTCAACGAGAGCGCCTGGCTGTCATGCATCGATGGCGTGGAGCCCGTGGTCTCGGCCTCCACCCCTGATGCCTTGTATGACCTCCTCTCCAACCTGGGCGCTGCGGATGTGACCGTCGTCATCACGGGTATGCACGCGATGGCGATGGTGGTGGTGGGTCCATGCTTGCTGGGTGCTGCATCCCTGCCAGCCATGCTTGCTGGGTGCTGCATCCCTGCCAGGCGCCCCACCGCGCTCGGCCCCGCGATGCCCGGCCGCCGCTCCATCGCCCCCACTCCTCCCGCACCCTCCTCAGCTGACATGAGCCTCTCGGACTGGGCCATCAAGGCCACCCCCGTTGTCGTGTCCCAGAACCAGATCGTGGTCCTGCGTGCCGAGCTGACCTCGCTGCCCGACGTCACGCATGGCCTCCCCGCCCTCCTGGCGGCGGGTGCCCACAATCTCAGCCTGGCCCGGCTCCCCGGCTTGTTCGAGGTGCAGACCGGCGGCACCCTGGCCTTGGTCGGCCTGGTGCTCACCCACCCGCCCAGCGCCGCGGCCTACACCGCCGCCTTCCCGGCAGGCACCATCCGTCCCGCCGGCCTCGACCTCTACCCAGCAGTCCTGGCCGACGACCGCGCCGTGGTGGCCACCTCCTACACCAGCGTGGACTTTGAGGACGCCGACTGCTCCCAGGCTCTGATCAACAGCCTGACCTTCCTGCGCGGCTCCGCGCTGGCCTCCGCAGACGCGGTGGGCGAGGTGCCGGGCGCGCCCACGCCGGCGTACTACACCGACGAGGTGGGCGCGCTTACCCTGGCCATGGTCAACTCAAGCAGCCTCCTGCGACTGCCCGGGCAATTCATGGTGCAGGTGCTGGGGCCCTCCCTCGAGTACTGCATGATCACTGCGGACGGCGGTGGCGACGACGACGGCGGCGGAGGGGGCGGTGGCGGGGGCCTCCCCGCATGGGCCATCGCGCTGATCGTCGTGGGCGCCGTGGCGGCCGCGTCGCTGGCCGCCCTTGCGGCCCTCATCCTCCTGCGCCGGCGGCGGCGCCGGCGGCTGGCCAAGCACGGCGGGCCCGCGAGTGCCGGGGTGGCCGCCAGCGCCGGGGTGGCCTCTGGGCGGGAGGTTGCGGGGTGGCACATCGTCGCGCGCCCCCCCCCCCTCGCCCAGTGCGCCTGGCCGCGCCCGACGGTGGGTGCGCGCCATCGGCCGCGCCAATCGCCGCCGGGCTTGCCGCGGAGCCCTGGCCGGGCCTGGGGTTCCGAGACGGCGTCGAAGAGCCGGGCCTGGGGTTCCGAGACGGCGTCGAAGAGCCGGCCCCGGTCCCCGGCCTGGCCTCCCTCGACGCCCAGACCTGTGACGTAGGCCTGGACGCAGACCTGACACGCCTGGCGGCCCTGCAGTCCACGTGGCGCGGGGCGGTGGCCTCCTCCCTGGACCTGGAGTTCCTGGAGACGCTGGCGCACAGCCGTGGCGCCACGGTGTGGCGCGGGCGCTGGCGCGGCTCCCCTGTCGCCATCAAGGTGGTGGAGGACCCGGCACGCGCCGCGGCGCTGGCGGCCGAGGGCGACCTCATCCAGTCGCTGAGCCACCCCAACGTCGTCAGCGTTTACATGGTCTGCGCCGCGCGGGGTTTCGACCTGGGGGCCGGGGCGGAGGAGGGAGGCCGCCCCGAGGCCCGCGCAGCAGCAAGGGTCATCGTCATGGAGCTCTGCGACCGAGGTTCCCTCCAGGACTGCGTGCGGGTGGGGGGCTGCGGACTCTGGGGCGCCGACGCCGCACAGCCGAACGAGGTCAGTTTGTGTATGGAGGGGTAGAGAGGATGCCGAGGTAGTGTGCTGCCATGGTACAAGGGGGGGTGGGGGGGAGGTTCAGAGGGTGGGCGCATGTCGGTCCAAGGATGTTTGTGGTTCCGAATGCAGTGCCTGCAAGAGGCACTCCCCATCGGCGGCCAGTACGATCCCCTCGACCCCGACCCCCCACATCTCCCGCCCGCACAGGAGGCGCTGCTGCGACTCTTCATCGATGTGGCGACGGCCCTCGACTACCTGCACTCCAGCGGGGTTGTTCACGGCGACCTCAAAACAGGTGTGTGTGTTTCATAAGGTCCGTGCTGATCGGAGATCCCGGACGCTGCGACTGCACCCCATGAATCGATGTCCATGCTGTGGGCGTGGGGATCATGAAAACCTTCAGAATGCGTCTTGACTGTCTGTCGTCTTGACATGGTGCGGCCCGGGGGTTGGAAGCTGCTGGCCCGACCCTCGCAGGACCCACCAGCGGCACCATGATGTGTCGTGCGACTGGCGGTCCCAGCAGACCTGGCTAGAAACCCCCCTCACCCCCCCCTCCCACCCCCCCGTCCAGGCAACGTGCTGCTCACCTCGGCAGCCAACAGCAAGCGGGGCTACCGCGCCAAGGTGGGGGACTTTGGGTGCAGCAGCAAGCTGTGCCAGCCGACTGGCAGTGTGGAATGCGGGACCCTGTCCTGCCTGGCGCCGGAGATTTTCGCAGGCGCCGCTCCCTCCCCTGCCGCAGACTGCTACGCCTTTGGCATCCTGGGTAGGTTTCGGAGGGGGGAGGGGGAGGATGGGGATTCTGTTTCTGGTGGTCCTAGGGGGGGCTTGCCGTGTGGGAGCCGTGAGCAGGGCTGACCCCCCGCAACCCAGGCCAGCGCACCTGCCGGCACACACCTCCCTCGACCCATGGCCGAGCCCTGGGGCCGGGCACGGGTTCCCACGCTCCGCTTGCCGCGTGGTGCCCGTGTGATGCCCCCTCGATCGACCCCTGGCGAACGCCGCCCCCCACACCTGCAGTGTGGGAGGCTTGGACGCGGCGCCGGGCCTACGAGGGCATGCCCGCCCTGCAGATCATGGCCGGCGTGGCACATGAAGGCACGCGCCCGCCGCTCCCCGCCGACATGCCCCCGGCCCTCTCGTCCCTGGTCTGGGACTGCTGGGTCGCGGACCCTGCCGCCCGCCCCGACTCCCTCCAAATCCTGCGACGGCTCAGGGCCCGGCTGGCCTCGCTCGGCGCGGACCTGGGCCGCCCCCGACACTCCCTGCCCCACGTGTGAGCCTGCTTTGGCGGGCCAACGCTCTTTTCCCCCCGCCATCCCCTGCGCAACGTATCCCCTGCATGCGGGCCCCGCAGCATGACGCCAATTTTCCTAGCTGCAGGCCCCCGGCCTTGCCCTGTTTCCAGCCCTCGGGCCCCTGCTCTCTCCAGGACTGCTCAGCTGCAGGTGGGAAGGCCGCGCGCCCCACCCCTTCCCCCCCCATTCCCCAAACCCATGTTTCCACACCTCCAAACTTGAGCTTGCTGAGGCTGTAACAACACTGCTCGGTCACTGCAACGAGGGAGGGCGGGCGAGGCCGTTGAGGGGTGTGGCATGCTACGGCCGAGGGGGCCAAGCAAGAGTAATCTAGAATGAAATCGACAAGTCTGA